TACGTTCTATAGTTTTAACAACATGGTTAATGATGTTCTTGTGTAACTTTGTTCAATATTTCCAGTAAAATAAATGAAATAGTTGGGAAATCTTAAAGCAATAAGCACAAGGTGAGCATCGCTTGTACCAGACTTAATTGTCTACATGTAAGATATATGTATGTATCTGGGATTATTGATGCAATAAATAAAAGTTGCAGAGCAAACAGCAGTAGATCAAGCCAGAGCATATGTTGTGTTACTGATGCTATTTTAATCCATAGGCAATTAAACTTGATGTCGTCCTATGCCATTACTATACATACTGAAAAAAATAAAACATCCAGAGGAGGAAGAGGATTTTGATGATAATTAGGCTGATGCCAACATGTGATGTCCACCCACATCCAGACAGCTGGCATCCTGCAGGCACAGCAATTTGTCAGAACCTTTTTAATACAATGTTTACACATTCACATTCTGTTTGAACTAGAGAGTGTTATTTGGAAAGGGAATTCCTATAATAGAATTCACACGACAAATAATGCTATGTCATGTTCATTAAATATATAGCTGTAAGTGTTTATTTTTTAATCCTTAAACCCTATTCAATGTATATATATTCAATATAATGAATGACAAACACACTAACTACAAAGCAATAGTTTCAACCAAACAACTTTAGGACAGCGGATACAAATGTTTTGACTACAGTTTTCAAACAACAAAAGCCATAGGCATTGCTGCTTTTTAAAAAATGTGATAATGAGCTAGTGTCATCATCTTTCCCCAAAATGGTGACTTGTTATCCACTTATTAACTGGCTAATCACTTTAACTTTATCACTTTAACTTTATGTCTCTATCACATTCAACGTGATAGTTCCTGTGTGAATATATACATCATTCTGTGTGTTTCCACATTAGATGTGCTGGACATGGCAGACGCCACCAGGATAAATGGAAAGTAGCATTTAAAAGAGGTTACTACTTTAATAGACTGCAACAGCAACAAAAACACACATTGAAGAAAACATCAAAATTACATTTTATCATAATCTCTAAGGATAAACACTTAATATATAAACAATAAAAGTGCAACACTGTCTTTTCATTCTGAAGAAAAAATAATCTCTGTTATCAAACCAATGCTAAGATATTCTATAGCTGTCATTTTATTGGAGGAACATCAGTCTCCCACTCACTAATACTGCAACTTTAATTAAGTCTCTGGTGAGTTCCTTGGAAGAATCTCAAGTGCTCAAATCCAAGCAGATGGCACGCTATTTACTGCATACCTTATGCCACAGGTACTAGCTTGTCCCCCCCCCAAAAGACTATCCAAGACAAGGCTTCCCTTTATGTACTCTCTTGGGCCTGCACAATTCAAAATTCAGCCAAACAATATATAAAAGTTTGTTTTAATTAGATCTAAAAATACAGTATAGAATAAATCAAATGGTAGACAGACAATCCCAGGGCAGCCTATTTAAAGATGTACCGCAGATAATGTGAGTCATTGTGGATGAATGAGTTTAAAATACAGTGGGTAGCCCTGTTTCAGTCATCAATCCATGGGCCTGCATGTGGCCTGTTTCGAACAGCGGAGCTGCTGCCTCACAAAGTGGAAGCCCTCATGCAGCAAACAAGGGAATTGTATCTGACTGTACACATTCATCTAGACTAATGGCATGGTGATGCATCCAGGGGGATACACAAGCTCATGTTCTTTGTTCCAGATCATTTGACTCCTTCTAACTTCCACTCGCCCCTGTCACAAGTGGAAGTGTGAGTGATCTGTTTAATCTCATCAAATATGATTAGGCAAAACACATCTCAAGATAATATCCTGCAGCCCTCTGATTCAGCAGCAATACAGATGAGGCGTGAATGTTGGTTGCAGCTATAAGTCAAAAGGGGGCTACAGAAGGCTCAGCTGTGCTTCTCCTATATTACTTTTACTTGACAATGGGCTGTTTGAACATGAATAAATGTAAAAAAACATTTAGCTAATCTAGCTGTGGATGTATTTTGACAAATTCATGATGTTCCAGGTGTGCACCTGTAATGCTAGATGGCATCATTGTGAGATTTTCTTTCTTTTTTGCAATGACTCATTTTCCCAGGTAGCAGCAGTGTTGTAAACATGCTTCATGCTTTATTATTCTACCCAATTCTCTATTAGAATGAGCTGTCAATCAAAGACAAAACCATTTACATAAACAATGAAACCCCAGGCTTCCTAGGGCAACGATAACAGACTGCCAACAAAAAAGTTCAGAAAATGAAAAGGAGGATATTGAAAAATTGTGAATTTCATCTTCTACTGTCTGCTCTATGCACCTCATCTTTGGGTGCAGAGCAATGATTACAAGTAAACTCTTCCAAAATATTTGTTCTGCCTGGCAGGCAATATGAAAGATCACATAATATTAAAAAAAAACAAAGTTGGACTGATTTTTTTCCAGTTGGGAATATTATGATTATTGTTATCGGTAAATTCAGTACTGTCTCAAGGTTTGGAAGAATCATTGGGTTACTTCACACTGTCACTAATACCTGTTAAATATGTAATTAAAAACTTGATCCAGAGGACAAACATTTCTTCATCAGTTCTGTTTAGCATACTGTATTTGCTTTGCAATCCCACTCCATCTTTGAAATCCTTTTATCCTTTTACTTCCCCAACAAATCGCCCAGTGACTTACACAAGGCAATTTACATGCTTGGATAGTGAAAACAAGTGGAATTACTGTTATTTCTGCATAAAACGTTGTGCTGTTAATCCAAAAAAAGGACCACTATTTGTGTCAGGGTTGGAGGGCTTTTCATGCACAGTCTTGCTAAGGCTCCTCCAGTTGTCACTAATCTACAGCAGAACTGTGGAATGAAAAAGAAAAAAACAAACCATGCTGATAACAGTCTGGTCAAAGTTACTGTAACAAAACTTTTCTACTTAAGTATTGATGTTGACACTAGGAAAACAGCAAATACTATTTAATCGTACAAGACTAGAAATACAACTGCAAGGACTATTAGCTCAAGAATTAATGTTCAAGATTGCAAAATCAGAATTGTGCTGTAGACCTAATATGTTTAAGTGTAATAATGTTTTTTTAAGATATCAATTCATCCTTAAAGGATTTTGACAGAGACTTCTGTTCTGCTATGATAAGAGCTTATTGTGAGCTGGAGGACTGATATGGACCCTGCCTACAGGGTACAGTGGGGATCAGTTTCTTCAGTTTAGTAAGACTTACAAGGCCTCCTCAGAGGTCATGCTGTGATTGTTACATTGCCCACGGTAGGGTTCTCACATTTCAAGGGTAAAGAGAAAAATCCATTTTCCAACTCACTATTTACGATTGCACATGAGTGCCAATATCCAATTACTAAATTATGATGAATTCTTAGCATTATTTTCTGCCAGGCATTATTCAAGACAGTCTATCTCAATTTACATAGCTTAACGACGCACTGAGCTTTTAATAATGCGAAGGAGTGTGATAGTGGGAGCTGATGTTTATTTGAACTGGCTGGGCTTTTGGTAGTAATGATTATGAAGTGAGCATTGGGAACCGTCTCTGTGAGAGGAGAGGGGGAGCGAGGCGTTGTGTGAAGCAGGCAGATGGTTGGCCGGACAGTGTGTTGATAATGGCAACATTAGTCTGCTGGGAAGCAACATTATGCTCAAGGTCAATGGGAGCTGAAGAATGGAGGATCATAATGACTTGGGCCCCGTGTCCTGGAACGAGATCTCCCTTTAAGGATGTTGAGATATTTAATATGAGCTCACTAATCTCCACAAGGCCATTATATCCATCCTCAAATTTCAAAGAGTTCATCTGTGTCACTGAAGCAGTGATAATGGGCCATGAAAGGTGCTTTTTTTTATTTTTCTAAATTGGTAGGGTTTAATGTACATGTAGTATTAATATTACTGCTAAATGTACTATAATCAACATTTGCTTTAGTCAAAAGTAGGTTTGGTAAAGTTTTATAATGCTCGTATAACAGACCATTTCACTTAATGTCCATACATATGGCCTTGTTTAGATTATGTGGATATAGTTCACATTTTCAATGTGTCCCTCCTGCAGTAATCCTTATTTACAGTAATTAAGAAAACACGAATGCTACTAATACTTGTACCAATCTATAAATCTGTGATCCGTACTTCTCTTCCATATTTCACACCATTACAAAAACAACATGTGCATACATTTTAACTATACAATTGTTTACACTCTATTTTATGACTTCTCTCTTTTTTCTGTTCTATTTTTTCCTGATGCTATTGCTATTTTTTCAGTGGTCTAATTTCTCCAGAGGGATCAAAAAAAGTTTCATCTTTCATCTTTCACTTCCAATTAAAGTAATCAGCTGCATCCTAATATCCTTGACCATAATGTCAAATCACGAAGCGGTTCCTCTCTCAAGTTTGTTAAAACAAGGGCAACAGCAGCCTGCTGCGTTGACATCTGTGGGTAGTTTCATGAAGCCCTTCAAGCATATCGAACACAGCTCCAGTGAGACGCGGAGGAATTCGGGGAGACTCAAGTCTTCCTTTTGTCACCCTGTATTAATACACAAATCATGAGCGGAGCTGAGAGCCTCGGGCCATCTTCCTGAGGAGCTTCATGGTTTTTTAATCCTTCAACACTTTGCATATATTATTAATACTAAAGGCTGAGTAATACTCAACAATTGCATGGAATAACAATTACAGTGCAGTGTTGGTCATGGTGCTGTCCATCAATATGCTCCCTTTTATAGAACTGTAGATATGCAGACTGATATTGTCACTATGGGTAATAGCGCTGTTATTCATGAACACAAAGCATTACTCTTGAGTGCATTTGAAAAGTACAAACCTAGTCAGAACAAAATGACAGTTTTCAAGTTGTTCATATTTTAATCCGCACTTTGTCTCTCTTTTTCTTTTTTTTTTTTACAGTGGCATAGTTGAAAAATGAATATTCAATACTGAGAAAAAAGCAAACCTCACACATCCCCCATAAAAAGCAAATTAATTACAGCGATTAAACCTTTGTACAAAATGAGTTATTTATAGCATCATATTGAACTAACAAAATAGCATGTATGAGCATTGGCAATGTGGTTCAATGTCTTTGATACAGTGACTATATACAGTGAGGGGATGTCTGATTCACCAATGCCTCAATATGTCATTAGAACTGTTTGCAGCAAACTCAAAGGCCATAACGGTGATCCTTGTATTGTTTTTTTATGATAAGTTACAGAATTAAAAAATGGAAAAGTTAATGTCAGACAACTACTTTAGTAACAGCAATAATATCAATCAATATAGTATTATATAATAAATGTCAATCAATCATAATAATAAATACATATATTTTGACCAGAATTTTCTTTTTTTTTTACATTTTAAGCAATTCATTAGAATCCCTGTTTGAAAAAATCTCCATAACTGTGAAAACAATCTCATCAAAGTGACGGGAACTGATAAAACCTGAAATTAAAAGCTATAACCAGTGTTTTATCTTTTACTAAAATTTAATACTTACACATTATTTACACGCCATTTGGCAAAACAACCTCTTGTTAGATGGGAAAAAAATGAAGACTTGTGGAATACTTTAAATACTGTATATGCTAATATACAAATTGTAATGTTTCAGGGATCCCAAGATTCAACAATATTGTTCACCAATATTCACGTTAGCAAAGTATGTTACAGCAATATCCACACATTGAGCATAGTTGTTCAATAAAATTCAACATAAATAATGAACCCCCACAAGGTTCCAATCACTCAGTTTGGATCTAACATCAAATCGCCAACCAAAATTAAAGTTCCTCATCCGTGATGATATCTGCAAGTGAAGTACTGAAATCTTCATCACGTGTCTGACACCATCTCTCCATTTAGACTCATATTGAATCCTGAGACATGAAACAGTTGATGTGTTTTCCCTCCATGTTAGTCCTCAGACTTTGTGCTTTAATTTTCTAACTTGTTCTCTGTTGGTACAAATCAACAGCATGAGAAAAAACTGAATATAAATCAATGCAGAAATATACAGACAGTGCTAAAAGGGAGTTGATTTCATCTTGAGACAATCAAAGAGATTGTGCTTTGAGATGTTTTGTTTTGTCAAAGTGGTCTGGTTTGTTTTACAATTTTTTTTTATGTAAGCAGTATGGCCGTGGTCGGGTAAACTCCAGGCAACATCCAAAACCACTGTTTAATCCCTAAAAAGATTCTTCTGATGTTAATGTTTGATAAATTGATGTATTTAACATTTTCGGCTCTTGAAGCACATTTCTTGTTGCTTCTAAATTTTTAAAAAATCTGCAAAAAGTTGTATAACAGGTAAAGTAAGAGTAGAGAGAAAAAAATGAATTCTAGCAATGAAATAAATGCAGAAGAATGTACAGCATTTAGGCACCATAAAACTGAAATGGAAATAATCCAATTGTGCATGATTTACATTGATTACAAAAGGAGAAGGCTATATTGTCAGCAAATGCTTTGAAAAGAAGCATATCCAAGCATGAGCTCTCTGGAGAAGACAAAATAATGAATGTAAAGCAAAACAGACCATGTAGTAACGCTGAGGCAGCTTAAATTTGCATGTCTGCTGTCAAAAGTTGTCATGAAACGAAGGAAAAGAGTAACAGAAGTCTAAATGAAGTACTCTTTTTTTTCCTCTGCATGCACATGGTTTCCCTCAGCATTGATGATGGCTGTGTCTGCGTCAGGGGCGTCCTCTGCTCCTTTGGCCTCATGTGTTAGATATGTCCCTGTAGACATATAGAGACACAGCAAGTTATCCATCTGCTGAAAAGCACTAGACATATACTTTCACTCCAAGCAAGAAAATTGTCATTCAAGGTAGCTCAAGTGACCTCTTTTACCTTTATGTCTGGCCAGATATCGTCCAAGAACTATTATCAGACACAAGGTGATGAAGACCACGACTGCAACGACACCACCGATTAAAGCGTGATCAGGTCCATGTTGTCCTAAAGCATTAGGATCTGAAACAAGACAGAGACAGAGATGGAGGGAATGGAAAGAAAGTGGAGAAATAATGTTAACACCTGCACCAAGATGTTTCACTACTGTCTAATGCAGCTGTAGACATTTATTTAACAGCAATGAAAATATTTTACTCCTGCAATTATACTGAAAAAAATCCAGATGTAGCTTTAACACACAAAGCACAACAGTCCCAAATGAGCTTCTGTCTTATTTAGAGCAACCTGACATCGGTGCTTTGAAGTGCTTGAATTGAGGTATGAAAGAAGTAATCATAGGAAATACCCAAAATCTCTGCACAATTCAAAAATGTGGCATTAGTAACAGCAACGTGCTAAAAGAAAGTCTAGCTTTGAGTGATGTTTTAGTTCTTTTTTTGCCCAAGCCTCTACCCATGCTATCTTTTGTGTTTTCCCCTTGCTCGCTGCCAGATTCTGCTGCTGAGGATCAGGTTTTTTAAATAAGTGTTATTTAACATGAGGTGTCCTCCGGGCAGAGAGCGATTTGAAGGTTTCCCAAGCAGGAACATGCTTTTGTGTCTGTCCTGTAATAAACTGTAAGTGGCTATGTCTTTATTGTGCACCTTGTGTGCTCTCATTATCTCAAGCTGATGAATGGCTATGGCTTGTGCTCAGTTTTGCAAAGTGACCCTGGGAAATGACGGCGGGGATGTTCCTACAAACCTCGTTATACTCCTCTGTTAACAGAATGCAACCATCATTTTCAGCAACCCAAAGTGTGGGACATTAAAAATAACAAAATATGAAGTTGTGAAACATGCAGTTCATTTAACTCCATGCAGAATAGAACCACCACAATCTTTTATCAGGGACTCACAAGCAGGCGCTCTGGACTTTAACGCAACAACTGTTTTGTCACAACAGTTGAATTATCTCAATTTCGGTTGCATGTCGATGGATATAATGATCTGTACAAGTGATTCCACTGTCAACAAGAGGCATAAGCAATTTTCACATCACACTCGGCTGGTGCACACTGCTCACAGGAATGAGACAAGCTGAACTGCTCCTGCCGCACTTCAGCTTAACTTGTCATCTCAACAAAACTTACTACTTATGCTTTCACCTTTAAGTGTGAGTAAATGACCATTACATATTTATACGTGTCCAACCAGATTTCGGAGCTTTAACTGACATGTAAATACACTGATTATTCTTATGTCAATCCTACAGAGATGCAACATTAAAAAAAGATGGTTGCATAAATTAGAACAACTTTCTTGAAACACTAAGATGGCACAAAACTACACATATTTCATGGCACACAGGGACGTCACTGACTTAATTTGCCATCCATCCTGTTTCCATTCTGTCTCGCACATACACAACCTCAAGTATTTTAAACATTGTAAATATAGATATATCTCTCAAATAAATACTATATCAAGCGATACTGTTGCAACCACATGTTATGCACATAGTGTAGATTAAATCATGAATGTAGAACCTAGAAAAATACAGAAATACTAAATACTAAATACTAAACTATGTGATCAGAAATGTGAAAGATAGAGTTTCCACAAATAATTTTGGACTTTCCTTTCCATTTCTGCTGTAACCACATGATCTGAAATCAAATATTTACACACCGGCACAGATACAATCTCCAGGCCAGCTCCACTCAGATAGAGCCGTCTATTCCATTGTGCAAAGACAAACCAAACCAAAAACATATTGTGTGATAACTTATGCAGCCTGTGACATGGCTGGAGAGAAAGCAGCTGGCGTCAGCAGAATGAGCATCCATGCATGGTGATGGTTTGGCTCATGCTGTGTGGAGGTCGTGATGTGTCCTGACCCAGATCCAGATCCAGCATCACACTATAAATCTGGCTTGCAATGATCATCTAGTGGGATATTTACCTGTTGTAGGCCCTGGAAAGTCTTTGGCTGTTGCCATGGTTGCAGACAGTGACAGCAGTAAGGGAAGACGAGGGGAACAACACCGTGATAAAAAAGGTGACCACAAAGTTCAAAGGAAACATGAGATATTGGCATGGTCTGTTTTTCTGAGCTTTAACTTTCATAGCGTGCAGAAGTGACGAAAAGCAAAGCTTGCTGTCAGAGCCAAATGCATGATTAACTGGAGTTACTAGAAACGGTCACTGGGAGAGCAGCACACGATATATCGACAAGGACAAGATGAAGAACAAAAGTGCACATTCTGAGATGTTTGGGGTTTAACTGGCAATGTACATCCATAATGTGTCAGTTCTACAAATAAACATATTTTATCACTTACCTCTAGTGGCATGTAGCCATGAAGATAGTTTTGGTATTTGCCCATGTTCAAATATATCTGTCTTATAATCCATGTGAAAAATGATGCGTTGATAATTTTTTATATCATGAATTGGGTGAATAATTGATTCTGATTGGCTGCAGGGTTTCCATTAATTCCTGGTATAGGACAACAATTAAGTAGTTCCAGTGAAACTTTCGGTGAAATTGATTTTTAGACAATGTCATGGGTGGATTGCTAGCTAGTCTTGTTGTTAAACATACTGTCAAATTGTACTGTTTTTTAACTGAACAAAACATTACTGACTGTGAATCATGCTGCCATAACGTTAGCTTTCTGCCTCATAGCTAAGCTGAGCTGGGCTCTATGAGGTGAGCAGACTAGAAATATCTCCTGTTGTCAAGTCATATCTAAGGTGTTTCCATTGCATAAGGGATAATAGTGATTGTTCCACGTTTTACTCAAACCCTCAGGTGCTACCAATGAAACAGATGGTCTGTGAAAACTTTAGATGTTAATTACAAATTGCATGAAAATGTAAATTAATGGTCTTAGTTTGAATGGACTGCGCGAAAGACAAGTATGGCCTTCCCAGTCCATTTATTCCGAACAATGAACAACTCATCAGGCATTATTTCTTACTTAAATGAATAGTTCCAGTATTTTGACGTGGGGTTGTGAGCTAGTTATCCATAGTCATTGTGTTACCTACAACAGACCGCATTCAAATGTATTTTAGACACATAAAAAAGGCTCACCTAAAAAAAAATCAAAATCAGTTAAAGCATTTATCCCTAGTACTTCTGAATTATTACGCATAAATCCAACTACGCTGTGCACTGTATTATGTTGCAGATCAGCTATTTGGGTCAGAGTTACAGCGGCACAGCTGGGAACACTTAAATTAATATAGTGTACACTTAAACAATGAGGTGGGCCTTTTTAGGCCTTTTTTATTTGGTGTGTTTTTCTGCAGCCCCTGTCCACAGCAGTGCATTGCTCTGCTTCCCTGCCAGGATCCCTGTCTGCGTCTCCAAACTGGGGGTGTGCTGACTGGTGCCTACCATAGGTAATGCAATGACTATGGATGAGTACCTTGTACAACCCCACTTCAAAATACCCAGATAATAACTTCATAACTTCACCATCAGAAATTAAATTCCTTCTACTTCTACTATTGTTTTAAAAAGTATAAAAACCTGGCCAAATAAAACCAAAACTATCTGCATGCCTTCCAAACTAGAGGTAAATGAGAAAATATGTTCTCTGTTGTGTGGACCTACCCTTTAATAATGATAGCAAACAAATACATGTCGGATAACATGTCGTTCACCTGCACCTGAGTATTCAACAATAAATATCGGGCAGTCAATGATGAAGGATAGTTACAAGTATAAAAATACGGCCAAAAGTCCTTACAGACTCACAGTTGTGCTCGCAAAGGCAGTCAGTAAGACTGCGAGCTACTATAGCATGTAAACAATGCACAATTTAAAATATTAAAACAAAAAGCAATATTTGCAAATATTTTATGAGGAAAGAAATGCGTTCAACACGTTTAATAGACTTCAACGATACACATAAAGCGTTTTGGTGAGAAACACAGAACGTTGTTTGTGTATAGGAGAACTCCACAGGGTATTTTTTGTTGTTTTGGGGTTTTATTACCTTTAATTGATAGAGAGAGCTCAAGAGTGGGGGGAGACAGGGAATGACACGCAGCAAAGGGCCACAGTCAAACCCATGGCTGCTGCAGAGAGGACTCAGGCCTTAGCCAGCTCTACCAGGTGAGCTATCAGGGGGCCCCAGCTCCACAGGGTTGAGTATCAAAATGAAGCACATCCCATATCTAAGTAACCTTTGTGTTTTTTCCATCACAATATCAAAGGTTATTTCAACAGTTTGAACTGTTTAAAATATTCTCCCTGCAGAGCGCTCTTGTGGCTCAATATGGTAAAGTCATCCACAAACACAACAACAGTAATTCCATTAGAAGAGATTAACTAAAGACATGAAGCATGTGATTTTGATCAACATTATTCAAATTTAATTGCATGTGTTCTTATTGTTCGGTTGTAGCCTAATGGTAGAAACCATTCAGTCGGAGAACAAAAGTTTAAACGCTCAGTACAGAGTAACTACCTGGTGTGGTAACTTACTCCTACTAAAATGTCATATTATCAGCTACCAATAATAAAACTAATCAGAAATGGTAATAAAAATGCTGGTAAGGTTACAGTGCTGTGTATATAAAATAAAGCAGAAAGGAAAAGACAAAACTAGTACTGAATTCCTCCAGTAAAACAATCCTATTTTCTAGCTCAAAGCCTGGTTGGAAGCTCATCAATCATCAACTGTGTGTTCAGTGTCATGTTTGTGAGTGCATGGAGCGTTGAGGCAGGGCCATGGAGGAGTTGCAAGTGTACCTGTGAACGCAGCTGTGACTGCCTATGTCTGATGTGGGAATGTTGGCATTAGCAGATTGGAAGAATAGAGGCTAGAGAGGGAGGCAGGAGAGCTGAAGATGGAGGCACTAAGGTGATGACGTCTGCTAAATGAAAACAGGAACAACGGGGAGCAAAAACAAACCTCACCACAGGGAACAGGCTCAACATGAGAAAACTTACAAGGAAATCAAACGGCACAAATCAATTACTGCACATGGCCGGTGCAGTGGGTTAATTCTGGGCTTATGGTCTAATGAAAAAAAATGCACCAATGATAAAATAATGCATCAAGCTGTGACAGTAAATTCATTCCGCAATATCTTTGGAAAAGGATGAGTCATACATGAAGGACTCATATTTCTTAAATTTGTTAAATTTTCAAGAAATTGATGATTGGTTGGTAAATAAGCCACACATACAGAATGTAAAACTCATCAAGTGTCATGCTTGTTGAGATGAAAATACAATGAACGAGTGAAATGTGAGGGTAAGAAGGTGGAAGCAGGGCTGCAGCTTCACAAACAGATGCAGTTATTTCTCAACTGTAGTTAACCAAACTATTATCTGTTACCATCTCTCTAACATCTTACTCAGAGTAATTATCGTATATGCTGTTTCTTTGCTTTATTTAATACAGTATATTAAGGAGCATAATTGCAGACGGTGATAAATTGCGGCGGAGCGATGACATTTATTGCTTCTCAGATCTCCTGTCATTAGCAAATTAGGCTTAGAGGCTGAGATGATCCGAAGAGACCCGGTAAGTATTCAGCCAGACACGGTGTAGCTCTGAAGAATGACTGTCATCATCAGTGGAAATGAGCCCGTCTTGCACATCTTTTACCTGCTAGACTCAATTTTTCATCCTTCCCTAGTAACCAGGGCCTTTGTATTTAGTGTGAGAGGGCTTCTAAGTATTATAAACTTTGCTATTTCCTCTGTTAAAATTACAAAAAGTGAGAAACAGCTCCCTGGCACATGCATGTTTAACTCAGGTTAATTAAACAAATTAGAATTTTTCTTTTTTAATTTGAAATAATAAAAAAAAAATCTTCCTGACTGTGACATGTCAGGACTGAACTTTGGTCCGGCATATGGCTTCCAGATATGACAGGATGATATGGACTATCCAGAGATCGCTGCCTACTCCTGTTCAGTGAGCACACTGAAAGAAGAGACTGAGATAACGAGAGTTGAAAGGATGAATGTGACATCCTCCTTTTCCTTCGTTTTTTCCCAATGAAGGGCTTTCTCTCCCCAAAAGCCTCTGCCTTCAAAATCGAACAAAGAAGCTGCTGTGCATCCACTAACTGCTTGTGAGCTTGAATAAGTCCAGCGTCTGAGCTGTGATAAGTCGCTCCCAAACAAACCGCACTCTCACTGTTTAATTGGAAATAATGGAAACAAATAAATCCATGTTGAATTTTAATATTCTGTCCTTGTTTTTGTATTTTCACTTGGCTGTATTTGATAAAAGTTATAAACATGTGCTGCAGAGGCCTTAATGATCCGTTTCCTGCACCATGCTGTCTTTATTCTCTCAGCCGCTTCACTGTCTCGGGATTAACTTATCTCTCCTCCAGGCGGTACTCAGAAGCTAAATTCTGCATCCTTAACACTTTCTTCCTTATAGGAAGAGTCCAAAAGCTAAACCTGTGCAGCAATATGTACAGTAAGGTAAACTGGGTTATCCTGCACAATGCCAACGCAAGATCTGGAAATGAATTTTGGAAGAAATCGTCTGCGAACTGGTGACCTGCAGGACTACAGATGACTTTGTTATTCTATAAGTACTGGTCCAAAAATTTAATTATTCTTAATTTTATATATTTGAACCACCAAACTTAACATTTTTCAAATCCTGCATTACCACCTGGCAGACAATGCAATGTAATCATATATCAGGTTAATATTAAAGAACCATAAGGTTTTACCAGTTTTATCCCATTTATTACAAATCACATATACTTCACACCACACATAACAATTTTGCAAACCAAGAGCAGGTCATCCATTATTCACAACATTGGTGGTTTGATCTACATGTTAAAGTGTTATTGAGAATGACACTGAACCCCAATTGGTGTGACCCCAACGGACTGCTTCCATCAGTGCGTAAGCAAGAAAATTGTAAAGAACTTTGTCCTACTAAGGTTGAAATATGTTTTTCATTATTATTTAATTATTATTTTAACTTGCTTGAGATGTGTAATTCATCACAGTTAAGATACTGCATTAATTAAAGTTGCAATGTTGTTGTGAGGTCATGCATTGGAATGTGTCAAATCAAACTGCAATTAAACTGCATGATCACACAATCATAATTTAGAACTGATAAAAATGTATGCAGACCTAAATGGACACTATATAATTTTCTGCCACTAAGGGGTCTCTCACAACAAAACAAGTAACAAGTTTGATGATGTTGTGAAGTGTCTGGGATCATGGGAGCTGTTGTCTTGTTATTGTTAAACAGCCACCAAATCTATTTGACGAGACTCCAGCAGAGGTTGGAGGGTGAAGTCTGTATCCGCTGATACTGATTAAAGTCAAATATTTCTGTCCACAATCTGCAACTTTATTATAATTACCTGACAGACAAAGCTATAACTCCAAGCTTAATTGAATATTCTATTGAAAAATCTCTGAGATTTAAGGAACACCAACCATCTTCAAGTTACAGTGAGGCCATAAATATGAAGCAACAGCAAAATTGATCATTCATAACAAGACTAGCCATTACTGTACCCACCATATACAAAGAGTATATATTCAGCACTGCTGGTCCCCAGGTGGTTGCTGGCCTCGCAGCGGTATGTGCCGTTGTCTGTTTTGTTTAGTGTGGTGATGGTTAGTTCCCTGCCCTCCACAATCATACGCTCGATGTCTGGCAGCTCTCCTCCATCTTTAGACCACAGCACTGGTTCAGGTCTGGGAAAGAAAACACAGACAATATTTTATTTTTTATCTTCCTGCTTATAATTTCCTAAATGTAAGGACATAATCAATTATTCTTGAAACATCCTGTAATGAAGAAGAATCAAATTCCAAAGTCCAATTTCATATTCCTATTTTTTTGTAGTAATTACCATAAAATTGAAGTTGTAAATAAATGCCAACTTACATTGGGTTGCCTTTGGAAACACACTCCAATTTCAGGTATTGCCCTTCCTGTGGAATAATCAGTGAATGCGTGATCTCCAGATGGGGAGCATCTGTGAAGAAGAGACAAATTCCAACACTGTGACAGTAATGTGTGGTAGAGGCTTTACCTCTAACACTGACAAAGTACAACAGTAGTTAGTTCTTTACCCATTGGGCAGCTCTTAGCTTTAGCCCATATCCCTGTTCTGCTTTGGTACTAATCCCTTACCTGCAAACTAATCCTACACTAATCCTGAGCAAATGCAAAGCTAAACCTGCAGACATAAATGTAATCTCAATCCTTGTATTTCTTCTCAATACTAATCTTACACCTAATCCAGCTTTGCACGGTGTGTATAACTGCACTCACAGTGGACCTCCAGGACCTCAGTTGTCATGTAGGGGTTGGACAGAGACACATGCTCCACGCTGCAGGTGTAGGCGACACCATCGTCCCGTCTGTCCACCTGGAACTGGAGGCTACTCCTCACTGTGAAGGATTTTCCTGTGGCATTCACCTTCATAGTGCCTGTAGAGAGTGAAATGTACTTGTGAATTACTGATATTATAGTTCTGGATCTTGTGCAAGAATCTTCATGCAAAAAACAAAAAATTGAAAAAGAAACCTAGAAAAAAAGAAATTAGCTCGTACATTAACTTAAACGTGAGAAACATGACATTTTATTCCACGATGTTTCTGACATAGACAGCTGAAGCGTTGTTGTTGTTGTTGTTTTTCTCTGCATCTCCTTTGAGGGAGAGAATCCTTGGCCTTTGAAAGTCAAGTCAAAGTAGAGTGAATAGTGAGGGGAGAGCAGTATGAACGTTGACTCGGTTGGTTGGGTGTGTTTGCTCCTCCAGGACCATCTTTCAAACATCCCAGTCAACACAAACAGGCACACACTCCCCCGGCAGTTCGGACTGGGTTTCCATAGTTGTAGTCACACCTTTGCTTTCTTTCCTCTCCTTTGATTTAGTTTCATGCCCAAACATTCAACCTTTACACAGCTACAGTCTTGATTTGTGTTTGTATTTTTCCTGCCCTGTAATGTCGTCTTCATTTAAAGATGCCTCTTAATGTATTTACTTAATATATTTTTTGGCATTTCCCTTTATTGACAGGTCAGTTGGGAGAGAAAGGAAAAGCAGACAAGAGAGGGGATGACATGCAGCAAAGGGCCTCAGGCCCCCGCTGCGGTGAGGACTCACCCTTGACACATGGTACACGTTACTGTGTTTTTCTGGGAAAACATCTGTACAAGGCTACTGCACCTGAACAATGCAAAAAGGATAACCTCTTGACGACAATCTCAGAAGGACTTTTCACTGGAGCTGCTACCCTCCTCAGCACCTTAGATCCTTTCCCACACTACATCCTCCCCCTCCACCTCTTCCTCTTCCTGGACTTTCTGCCATCCACAGCAAACCCAGGTAAATCAATAAATACGTATGTACTCACTCCACTCCTTAACTCACAAAAACAATCACATACACACACACACGCACAAATTGTTCAATCCTTTGGTCTATTACATACTAACAGCCCCTTGCAATGAAACCCAGATCACCCATATCATCATCATTTTGGGCTGATCTGTTCCATTTGTTCCGCTGCACTGATTATCTTTGATTCTGTCATGCAAGGGGATTAATTTTTTATTGGACTTTGCAGTGGAACCACTACAACTAATACTACTACTACAACTGCTATTGTTACTACTGTACCTGCATTTTTCCTGTTGTTTTTTAGGTTGGCAGATTCAATAACACATTTTCTTCTGTATGTCCTAAAATTGAATTAATGAAATTAAAAGTGACCACTTTTCATGAAATGGCTTGACAAAAACTTATCCTGTTGTACAAATGATCCTAATTGTGGTGTTTTTAATAACTTAAGCTAAGATAAACTAATTATTTAGTCTTTTGTTAGATTTCTCTTTTACTGTAAGTTACACTTACATAAACCTAATTATCAATTATTAACTGAATTATTATTTATGAATTTTGTTGTAGACATGGCAGTTTGAGAAATTTTATTTTTCAGTTTTGGACTTGAAAGTATGTACTTCTCCTACCTTCTGGATCTGATTTATATTAATTATTGGTGTCTTTTATATCAAACATCAAAATTAAAAGTAATAATAGCAAAGAAAGATAACAACAAGAGGAGGAAGAAGAAACACACAAAACAAACCTCACCGGCCTCCAGGACATCACAGTCATATTGATTAATGCATCACCAATGAAATAATTTTTGAGACCTAATTTTAAACATCAGATATCACATAAGCAAACAGGAAATTCAGAGGCCTTGCATTTGAGAGTCAACGGCCTTGCATTTTGCCCTGAAGTACAGAGAGGGATAGTAAGTACCTCTGTGGTTTCAAACACAAATCTCTCCAGCTTTTCCTCTCATTCATCAAGTCGCCTACAGCATCAGAGTGGTTGTCAGTCTGTTTGAAGGCGGCTGCTAGCATCGCCAGAGAGCATGCAGAGGCAGCTTTCATAGGAATGTGAATGTGCCCAGGTTCAGTTCTGTTTTGAACCAGAACCCCGAGAGGCAAGCAAATCTACATTCCGGCAACTGGGGGCACGGCTGTAATCAGCACCTCTGCGTCTGTTTTAACAAGGCGGAACCTCAGGAGGAGGAGGATTCGATTTTTTCAAAGGAGTACTCCAATTATAGTTTAATAAGAGTAATAGTAGGGTTGGACAGGTACAGTTGGGAAAAGTTGAAATTTTGGCTTCCCTTCAGATTATTATTGTTATATGTTCACTGGGTCAAGTTGTCCTCAGCCTTGAAAAAATAACTGCATAACAATCTGAGCCTTTGTTTATTTCATGAAGGCATCAGAGGTATTCTCTAATAGCACATTCTTTTTCTACACGTGCAACTATTTCAAACCATGCTTCTTTTAATGCCAGAACCTTCTGCTCAGCACAGTTTGCAACCTACCACCTGCTGAGCAATAATTATTCAAATGTTCTGAGAAAGAATTTATCAGTTACACTGGAACTCATTTATCCTTAATGAACAATCTTGCACATTTATTATTTTGGTGTTTGGTAGTGTGAAGAGGCACAAGGGATGAGCTAACAACTGCTATACTGGTAAATATGTGGTTGGATTCACACAACTGGTCTTAGTAGTGTGGCCAGGGAATACTTTCAAACAAATATAACTGTTGTTGTCATTTTAGATCTGTTAACATCTTTACATAAAGAATATGATGCTGGATCACTGTATTGCTATTATTAAGACGCACAAGATAGGTGCTGAGAATAGGAATGTAATGTCTGTACTTGAATTAATTGAATGGAACAATTTAAAAGGCCTAAATACATTCACATACGTTTGTTTAACACATTTGTTTGTTTTTATTTGATTTGTTTATATATAAAGATAAATTCTAGTCTAGTCTAACTTGCAATACAGACATTTATTAGCAATATATCACCTTGGCACCCTGGTGGTGGTTATGCAGTCCCATTGGCAACAAACTGTGATGCACTGTGTGTTCTCACACCTTTCTATCAGAACCAGCAGGAACTTTTTCAGCAATTTCAGCTACAGTAGCTTGTCTGTTGGATGGGGCCAGCCTTCGCTCCCCACGTTCATCAATAAGCCTTGGCAACACATGACCCTGTCGCTGGTTCACCACTTCTCCTTCCTTGGACCACTTTTGATAGGTACTGATCACTGCAGACCGGGAACATCCAAAAATAGCTGCAGTTTCGAAAATGCTGTGTCATCTAGCCGACTTGCTGCCTAATATATCTCACCCATGGGCAGGTGCCATGATAACCAGATAATCAGTGTTATTCACTTCACCTGTCAGTGGTCATAATGTTATGGCTGATCGGTATATTATATATATAAATAATATTATAACATTATAAATAATATAAGTAAAAATCAGTATGTTAATCACATTTCTCTCCAATGGATACATATTCATTACACCAAGAAATAGATCACATAGGCTCCAAGTATGCACATATTGAGCAGGTAACATTCATAGATGAACCCACTAAAAATATATATGCAACCCCAACAATACATTTATGATGCATCAAAATAACTATAAGAAAAAACACAATGAACATATGGGCCTCAGAAAAACTCATGCAGCATTAATGCATACATCGACATTCCTAAATTTACTTGATAGTGTATGTACACATCTATATGTATCCTGTCTCGAGCACAGAGCCCAAGTGAAAAACAAAATATATAGAAAAAAATATATTCAGGAAGAAATCCATATTAATAGTTAAATGTAAGAGATCACAGGAAACTGCTAAGAAGTAATTCATCATCCAGTCCCTTTGGCACCAGTGTTTGAAGAGTGTGAATCCAGTAGGCCTTGTGTTGTTTGAGTAGTATTTCATGATCTCCACCCCTAGGTGGTAGGGTGATCTGTTCAATACCACAGAAACGTAATGAGGATACATTGTGCACTGCTATGGGATAATCCTGATTTTTTGTGCGTATGTTGCTTTCATGCTCACTGATTCTCTGTTTAAATTTTCTGATGGCCTTCCATACATATGCAAGCCCACAGGGACAGCTTATCATGTAAATCAGGTGTATGGATGCACAGGTGATGACGCTGTTGATGGAAAACATTCTACCTGTGCGAAATGGGAGAAGTGATTGGTTTTCATGGTGTTGTTGCATTGTGTGCAACTGCCACAGCGATAGTAGCCCTTGGGAAGAGGGTGCAAAAGTATCTGGGTTATTTGACTGGAATCCTTGTAATAACCTTGTAATCAAAATTTGCGCGGTCAAGTGATCTTTTATATTTTTCCCCTTTTGTTGTACAAATAGAGGTGGATCCTTAAAGATGAATGAAAGTTCAGGGTCCAACTTATGCCATATGTTTTTTGAACACCAATTTGATTTCAGTGGAGTAGACGAAATGTTGAGTGATTGAGAGAAATAATTTACTTAATTTCTTAGCTCTTTTTGTCAACAATTTGTCTTTTTGAGGGCCAACTCATACGCTTGATTTGTCCACATAAATGGGTACCCCCATTGTGCAAATGTATATATTTAAATGACCTACCTTCGTTCTGATGTCTTGATTTTTACATTTTACACCATAGCCACTATGTAAAAATCCATAACCTTCTATATATATTTATAATTATAATTAATAATAAATAATTCTTTTTTATAGTTAAAAAGTGGCTGTCTATGTTGTTTTTTTGTTAAAT